TATGTTAACTTATGCAAACAAGTTCTCTCCTTCTGTCATGTCTATCTTTATAGAATTTGGTATGCAATAACTTTCTCTTTTTTCATGTGGTCTTGATATAATCATGTTTTACTTATAAAATTATTCTCCAGAAATATAATCATGTTTTACTTATAAAATTATTCTCCAGAAATTAGTTTAACTACCAGTCAAAAGTTTATGAAGCATGACAAACTAGGGATAAAAAAAAAATCCAGTTTTAATTGTAAATGCTAGAGATATATATCTTTTTAAGGTAGAATGAAATGCAAAAAACAAGTGTTTACATTTTGATACTGCTAAGTATATATTGTGCTAAGATATCTCTTCCCGTCATCCCCAAAGGAAGCTTGTTGATATTTCATGTGTGCCCACAGTTATGATGTTATCTTCACGGATGGCAAGGATGCTATTCTGGAGAGATTTGACAAGCTGAATGCCCGAGTGGTCTTTGCTGCGGAGGATTATTGCTGGCCAAATAAAAACTTGGCATCACAGTATCCAAGGGTAGCATTTGGCTACAAGTACCTAAATTCTGGAGGTAATAATGTATTGTAATAATGTAATGTATTCTTACTATACTTTTTAATCTTGGATTTGTTATTTTTCTGTAAATTTTGCATTGCTGATTTATATGATATGTATCCTTAACTATATATTTCTTCATATGATTTAGAGACACCTGCTTGCTGAAATATATAAAACTATATATGTTCTTTCACTTAGGTTTCATCGGCTATGCACCAGATGTCTACAAAATTGTCACATCACATGAAATTAAGAATGAAGATGATGACCAGTTGTACTACACAGAAATATTTCTTGATGAGAAGCTTCGTAAGCTTTATGGAATGAAACTTGATACTCAGGCGAAAATATTTCAAAACCTTAATGGACAGTATGGTGAGTTGTATATTTTGTGTGTGTGTGTGTATATATGTGTGTAAATATATATAAGTTATTTGGATTTATATTTTTTATATTGATAATCTATTTCATTTAATGAAAAGGAACAAAAGTAAGAGTTAAACTTGCATTAAGTTTAACTGATTATCAAAACATATTGGAAAAATCTATTGTCGAAATAAGATAATTTTGTATGTACAGATGATAAAAAAAGAAAGAAAAATGTAACGAGACAAATGTACAGAATATGAATGACTCAGGCAGATTATTGGTTCTGAGGGAAATGGAATGGAATGATGGGTATGGAACAGAGGTGTCATATGTGTGAGATGTACTATATCTCTGCTATACATTTCATTTACAACATGAGAGAAACTAGCCTTGCTTTTTTTGATTAGGGAGGAGAGGATGGGGTCCAAAGAAAAGAAAGGAAGACTAGTGATGGTTGTTAGTTGGAAGAAACATGCCAATGAGTGAGATTTATTATTTCACATTCACTTTGTCTCATTCACATAAAAAAATTGAACAGCTTGAATATGATCATTAGAAATATGGTTTTACATATATATAGCATGGTAGGGGTCAGTACTGTTAGTCTCTAGAATAAGAATAATGATTTGTGTGTGTTTAATTGAACATTTTCCTCTAATTTGATCATCATTTTTTTAATGTAAGTTATATTTACTGATTAGGTGAATATAAGAAATGCATATATGATGATATAATCAATATTATTGAACTGGGGTATTGAGAATAGTGTTGCTGTAGCACAGTGGCAGCACTCAGCTGGGGACCAGTAAAGTTTCCAAGTGAAGATGTTTCAGGGTCAGAAGTGGTCCAAGTTTAGGGAAGGCATCCATTCTGGGTAACAACATCTACCTCTTGAAGTCCTTCAGAAGAAGGCAATGTCTTTGTGAACAGGTGTTTAACCCCTTGGTGCTGGGTATGACGTGTATGTACGTGCTATGCCCACCGTGAGTACTTGTTTGATTGTTTTTACGCATAGATGGCAACACTTGTACTAACTCCCCAATGAGCCAGTTACGAGCACCGCCCGTCTCGCCCGTTTACCCGTTTCTTTGATTTACAAAATATTTTACGTAATCTTATTTTGCTGTTACTAATGTTAAAAAAAATTATAAAAATTATAATGTTTATGATAAAAATAACACCATCGATTTTCATAGCACTAGTGAAAAATACGTTTTTCCCGCCATTTCAAATCAGGCGCTAGCAGAGCCATCTATCGGCAGACATTTCACAAAAAACATAGAAAGTGGGCACAATATTTTCCCCATTTTTTGTTCATTTTTCCCGGCACCATTGGGTTAAAATGTAAAAATAACCATGAGATGAATGAATATCCTGTTCAGTTTTAAAAGGCGGATATTGATTATGGTTGTTCTTTTTTACTATTTTTTGGTGATCATAGAGAATGGAGATAAAAAGGGGGAAGTATCAAGAAAGATATATTTCAGAAGAGGAAGGGATGAGGTGCAGTAGAGCAGTCATGTAATAAGATCGGCCTGGTTATGATAATGTGATATAATGTATATGGCCTTTTTCTCTGTTAAAC